TGAAGCTTAAGCATGTTCTTGAAGCTGATACTTCTTGAGATGAGTGATCAGTGACTGCAGATAATTTCAATCACAAGAAAAAGAGAATATCTGCAACATTTGAAAGTATTCTAGCTGATTATATAGTGATAAGACAGTACTGATCAGCAATGAGTGTGAAATCTCTGATATATCAGTGAACTCACTATGATATGAATCAGATGAGAAAAAAGAGATTAAATTCAAACTTGAATATATCTGAAAAAGAGATACAGCCTGTGATGTCATTTCTTACTCTTGACATATTTGATCTCTGTATGTGAAATTCAGCAGATCATTCAGTTTAGCCTGAAGATGTTGTATATAATAGTGAAATCAGCTGTTATTGCATAGATCATAGTTCAGATTCAGTTGATTCTTATCATTAATAAAGCAGCTTCAGCATGATCTTCTTGCTATTGATTCTTTAATCTCTATGTTACTATTTTACTGCAGTATATCTTCAAGAAATGCAATGCAAGATGCAATCACTCTCATCTTTTTTTCATCAATATTCATCATAACCCTCTCACAATTCAATGTAGATAAGTCATGTGATAATGCAGTAACTGTGTCAGAAAAATTGATGCTATGAGAATCAAAGATTAGAATAAAAATATTGTTTCATTTTGAGCACTCAACAGCACTCAGTGCAGAAATCAAATAAAAACTCATCAAGCTTCAGTACATATTCTGATATAAATCAAATTCATCAATAAATAATTGATATGACAGGGAAATAACTTGTATATTAGAATAAAATATGCTTTTCAAAAGATCTCATTCATATGCTGCAATTTTCAACTCAGTCTGAATCAGTGAAGATTTGCAATATGATCATATCTTAACAACTTCAGTTTTAGTTCTCATGACTCAGTGAAGAAAATACTGACCTTGACTCTTATATACTGACAGATCAGAACTCAATTCAAATACTGTATTTATATGAATATTAAGTTAATTAAGAACTTGAGTAATTGAGATATATTTCATCTCATTCTTCATTGTGATTATTTTGAAGGGACTAAATGATGAATTCAAGAACAGTAATCTTTGTACAGTCTGCAGAGTATAGTAAACAGCTTCTTGAACTTTCAGAACTATTATATGAGATCTCATGTCTGAATATTGATGATTATATCTGACAAAATGCACTTTCTCAATATGAGATATATCATTCAACTCTGATTTACAAAAGCATTCAAGATTTCCACATCAATATCAAATAAAATCAGAAGAAAAAATAGGTTTATTTGATAAATATTATGCAAAGTTATCAGAATAATATTTGACTGAGCTTTCTCAACTGTGAGATTGTCATAACTCTGTGAGATTGTTGACAATTTCTGTCATTTCTATATACATTTGTTGCTGGAAAGTTGGGGATTTGAGAAGAGCAGATATCAAGAGAATCAGATTTTAAAAGTAGAGTGATCTCATGAAGAATTTAATGAGATTTTTCTGAGCAGAACTCAGAGTTAGTATTTGCATTAATGATACTATTGAAATTGAGGTTTTCTTGACTGATAAAATTGGAAATTGTGCTCTGTATTGCTTTTTCAGAGTTGAGAGGCCTTCTAGAAGCAGACTTATCAGCAATGTATTCTTCAATAAATGCAGAATTTGCATTAATGATTTGTAGTTTTTTCAGGAAATACCTGACTCTTTGACTCAGAGTCTTATTATCAGAACAAATGAATTCATTTCAAAGTTACTGCATTTGTGAGATATATCAATTACTGAATCAGAATCAACAAATTGATCAGTAATAGTAACAGCAATTGCATCAGCAGCTGGTATTTCAATATCATCAGTGACTGACTCATCAGAATTCTCTTAATCATCATTTTCAGAAATATTCTTCTCAGCAGCTGCTTTCAAAAGTCACTTAATATACTTAACATTATCAGCAGCATCCTCATTATATGACTCTGTCTTTAGAGAATGTTAGTTTTTATAATAATAGAGACATTAAAAGTGATAAACTTACTGAAAATAGCAATGCTTCTTCATCAGAAGTATTATTATTGAAATCACTTTCAGTAAAATCTTCATTTACAGTTTCTGAAAAAAGAGAGCTCTGAGATTGAAATTTCAATTGATCATCTTCAGATTCTTGTCTAGAGATAGATAGCAGATAGTGTTTTGAATTTTAATTAAATAAATGTGACATTTTACTTTCTGATATAATTTGTAGAAAAAAGTTGCATAGTTGAAAAGATATAAATGAAGTGAATGAGTGATCTTGATAAAATAAAGAGATGAGATTAAATTATCAGAAAGAAATATATTAATAAGAGCTACAATCAGTGACAATCTACATTAATTTAATATTAATAATTAAACTACTTTCTTTATTTCAAAATTATATTCCTGTAATTTATTAAAATTCATATCACAAATTTATCAGAGTTTTATCAAGATTCTGAAAATGAACATTGTCATGAATTCTGCTCTACTAGATCTCTCTGAACTCTCTCATCTGATAGGTTTAATGAGACAAATCACTGATTTTAAAAGAAATCTGATATTGATATATCTGAACATAGAATGAATATAATGATAGCAATAATGAATACTAGTTAGATGAGAAGAAGTCAAACTCATCACTGACATCAAGCAGTCTGTTAAAAAGGCATCACTGAACCCGGCATCTGAATGCAGAAATGTATGAGAAGGAAATTCAGCTGACAGAGCAGTGTCTGTGTCTGGAGATAAAATGAATGTATTTTCTTTCTTTTAATAAAGATAATTTGAATTGAACAGTTGCAAGTATAATAAAAACAAAGAATAAAACATCATATATCTTTTCATTCAGCAGAATAATGATGCTGAATACAATTAAAACATGAAAGTTCTGAACTCTCAAAGAAATGAAGATAAGTAGTATTAGATTTTAGCAAATATATCAACTTTTCAGTGAGATATTAAAATTTTTTTAATCAACTTAGCTAATCATTTATTAATATAGAATCATGTTCAATGAGAGAAGACAAAGAGCAGAGAAAGTTCAGTGATAATTGAATTGTATAACTGCTATAAAGAATCAATCATCTTTGAATACTTCTGTAATTCATTTACTGCTGAAAAGTTCTTTCTGGTTTTTTACTAGGTGCAGAAAATCATTGACTTTGATTGATTCTCTGAGCAAGAATAATGATATATGAAATATAAGTTAAATATTCATTAGTTAAAGATATTGAATTGAAAACTTCAGATTGAAAAACTAGAAACTGATTCTGAAAAATAGAGATATATATCAATCTTATAACTCAGGTCAAAATATTTAATGATGCTGATACAAATGAAAATTCTGCTGCAGCTATACTGCAATGATAAAATATTCTGACATTCTGAGATCTGATGAGCAATATTTCTGAATATCAGTAAATTATCAGAGATGACTTTGCTGAGACAATTCAGAATACTCTGACAGCAAAAAAGAGACATCTGATGAAAGATGCATAAGAGAAGATACAGAAAAAGATCAAATTTTCAGAGACACTTCTGATGAAAGGCAGATCAGTGATGTAGAGATTTTCAACACAATCTATTTATATTTCAATATATTTAGTTTTCTATGGGTTTTATATATAAATTAGTTAATATATACTTTAATACACATAATTAGAATATACCTGTCTTGATATTCACTGAAGAAAGTTGTTATATTCTCTATCTTATAATTTGTATAGGATTCGCTGATTTCACTGTATCAGAAAATCTTGAATTCTGTAGATATATTTCTAACAGTGCATTGAACACTTGTTCCTAGTTAATAGAAATGATTTTATATTCAAAATAGCTGTAATTCAATCAGTGATAACCTGTGCAAAAAGTATTAAGATATGAATGAAATTCATCAGATATACTGATTACATTCAGAAATGAAATATGAAAGTATTTACATTCATTGCATGATAATCTGCAAAGATGAATTAATAACATATATAAAGACTCACATTTTTCTTTTCCTTCTTTTCTTCTTTCTTCTTCTTGCAATAATAATACACTGCAAAGATCATTCTCAGCTCACTCAGCTCACTCTGTTCTTCTTCATTTCTCAGTCTGATTAGTATTCTGTCAGTTGTAATAGAAAGCTTTTAATCAGAAAAGTTCTAATCAAGATATCTTGTCTGTGTAGTATATCAAGAACATCAGTAATTCATCACATCAGCATCAATCACAGTAACAACAATAACAGCAGCAGCATCAATCACAGTAACAATAACAGCAGCAGCATCAAAATGATAAGTAACATCTTCAAGTGTACTCATGCTATCACTGCAAAGACTCAAGAGAAGAAAGTAAGCAGCTGTCTGAATATCTCAACAAAGCAGTCTGATAAATGAACAATGTGTGAGCACTGCATTGAGTATATTTTTCTCTGTCATTTGAATGCTGCTTATGATAAGATAAAGAGAAGCTTAAAGTCTTGTACAAATTATAATTATGAGAAAAAGAGATACATGATTATCTCTGAAGAATTAAAAGAATAAGTTAATAATCTGATCTGAACTCATGACTTTTATCTTTCTGTATTGAATGATTTTAAGAAAATAATAAAGAGAGCTATGTTGAAATCAGCAAAGAATCTTTTGAAATAGATCAAGAAAGTCAAAACTTATTAACAGAAAGTGAAAGCTCAATGCATGAAGAGTGTCACTATTGCTCTAAAAGCTCTGAATGTCATTATCAGTGCTGCTGAAAAAGCTAAAATTGAGATTGAGAAGACTAAGTTGAATATTGAAAGAGTGAAATTAGAAATTGAAAAGAAAAAAGTTATCACAGAAAAGAAGAAAATCATGATTAAAAAGACAAAACTTGATATTAAAACTATCAAGCTTGAAGTGTATTACAAGCTTTTGAGAATAATAGTCAGTCATATTGAAGAATAAAAATTGGTAATGAAGAATCTCATAAATTTGATAAATAATATCAATACTGAAGCTAGCTGTATTATCATTGAAATGTATGAAACAATGAAGCATATTCAGAGACTCACAGATTATCTTGATAAGAATTCAGTTACAGTCAGTAATAGCAGTAGCAGTGCTCAATACATGAAGAGTGTCACTATTGCTCTAAAAGCTCTGAATGTCATTATCAGTGCTGCTGAAAAAGCTAAAATTGAGATTGAGAAGACTAAGTTGAATATTGAAAGAGTGAAATTAGAAATTGAAAAGAAAAAAGTTATCACAGAAAAGAAGAAAATCATGATTAAAAAGACAAAACTTGATATTAAAACTATCAAGCTTGAAGTGTATTACAAGCTTTTGAGAATAATAGTCAGTTATATTGAAGAATAAAAATTGATAATAAAGAATCTCACAAGTTTGATAAATAATATCAATACTGAAGCTAGCTGTATTATCATTGAAATGTATGAAACAATGAAGCATATTCAGAGACTCACAGATTATCTTGATAAGAATTCAGTTACAGTCAGTAATAGCAGTAGCAGTGATGAGAAATTTGATAACAGTGATAATTCTCTTTTCACTTCTCTCACTAATATCTCTACTACTGCTGTTGATTCTTCTCTCTCTTTCTTCTTTAATCTTCTGACTTCAGTTGATCCTCTGGCTATGAGCAGCACTGAAACTCTCAATATTCTCAGTGAAAAAGTAAGTTAGAATCAGTGAAATGATTCTCAGATTTATACAGAAGTTGATAATAATATAGATAAATAAATACATAACTCTCAATCTCTCTGAAATCTTCTCTCTTAAACAGTGAATGATCATTGACACTGACTCTTCACAAACTTCAATATCAATTTACAAGTTCTCTGAAATAAATGTTGATGTGGATATGACAGAAAATGATGACAATAATATAGAGATGATTCAGAGAATCTGTAAGGAATTACAGAGAGACATGACAGATTTTCAATAAAGAACAATTCTGATGAATGAGACATTTTTTAGAATTAGTGATTATATAGATAGGAATCAGTGACATTGTCAATACAATGATGATTTTGTTCTGTTCATAACTCATTTACAGTGATTCCATGGCTAATCCACCATTATATTATATTTTACAGTTCGGCGACGGTGTCGGCGACTGGCACGGCGGAACAACCATAACCCGGTCGTATAATAAGCCTACGTTTTTCCGGTATGGTAGGGCTGAAAGGTCAGGTGACTCGATAGCTAATTACCTCTTTGGGAAGCTCTCCGTTCTCTCCACTTCTTGAGCTCAACTTTTGGCCCTGTGTTATGCCATCTCAAAACTATCCTCCCAATGCAAGCAGCTTCACCTCCTTGTGAATGATAATATCTGTCTAGCCCTACCTTCTTAAGATATATCTCATCCCCCGACTGCTGAAATGACCTCTTCGTCAAAGATAACGTTACCTGAGAGGGCTACGATGCCGTCTGTCTGGCAAGCTACCGCCGCCCTCCCCAAGCTTCCCAAAACCCTCCTTCCAACCGTTCTCAGTCCGCCCCTGAACAGGACTTTGAATGAAAAATCTCATCGACGAATGTAATAAAATGAGCCGCGAAGAACTCATAAGCAATCTTGCGAAGAAAAATATATCGGCTATTTGGCCACGTCCCTCTCATTTTCTCATCCGTCGTTGACTGAATGATGCCAGTGTCGGATCAATGCATCCCATGTGATAATGGTGAAGATATTGAGTATGAGGCGTAGCTCTGGTAGAGGTTATGCTTTCTTTTTCATTTCCTCTTCACTTCCAGTTGTGTTTCCCTCCGCAATGCGGTTTCTGACATGACTTTCTATAACACAATATGCTTCCCTTGTTCTTTATTTGTTCTCCTGATTCTTGAATCAGAATTCAAATTCAACACGTCTGGAAAACGATCAGTGCAGCCTCTACTGGGTAGCATGCTTCAAGTATCGCTACCCAATTACATTCTTCGGAGCGCCGTTACCCAGCCGAAATACGGTCGAAAATGCTCCTCGTGACAGAGCTACAGGCAACCTATAGTAGGCTCATGGTTGCACGGATTTCGCTATTCATGTGCTTCCTTACTAGACTCCGACGAGCTAGAAAGCTTAACATTTTTGCAAAACCTTCATGGCCACAGGACGAGTTTCAGGGCTGATAGCTGGTATCATTATTCTTGATTCATCAGCGCAAGCTGCTTTCCACAATATCAACAATGAAGCACCTATAGGACACTGGGGGCAGAAGAGCTCGATCACCACCTGGCTAACTGGTAGTTAGGGGGCTGAACCATTCCATACAACCTACATAGTAGAGTTGTTTTAAATGATAAATTATTGCTATCTGTGCTCTTTTTTATGTATTCTAAGCTTGATATTATATTTTTTTCCCCCTTCAAATTTGAATTCTAAAGATTATTAAACGTCATATCAACAGATATGATTCTCTGTTGTCATATTCTTAGTAGCCTGTGTTTGTTGATGAGATAATATCAAGATCTTGAGACAGGAAGCTTGATTTGCTGAATGAATTCAAGATGAGAGGTTCAAGAAGAGATAGCTAGCTGGATTGAATGACTTCGGAGATCTTTCTCTGATTTATGGAATACATGTTCTCTACATGATCATTATAGAAGCATATCATAGCAGATGATAACTACATCTAAGGAAATCACCTAACTTAATCCAAGCACATTAAAATAAATAACAAAAAATGGCAGTGCAAAGCGAAATGTTCCCATGTTCTTGGCTCTATATGTAACGTAACCCTGATGATGTCCTCTCTTTCTAACCTAGGTACAAGCAATCGATCTATCTAACGCTAGCCTCCAATTCCAATCTTCGTGGGTAGAAGAGAGTTTTGCGGGGATTTTTTTTTTTTTATTAACTAGTTAAGAAATGATTATTATTAACTTATTATTTCCCCGTGGGAAGGGAAAACAGGGTCAAGAAACGGCCCATGGACGAAAGGCTCTTATGTTACGATTAACTAAAACAGAATCCCGATCGGCTGGCTGCGAGGGGGGGGGAAGGAGAAGGGAACCTAACCAACCCAATTGTAATTCTGAATCCATAATATAATTTTATTATTTTATTTTTCCCCATCCCAAAGCTCTCTCCCGAGGTTCCTCTATCTCTCTACGTGAGGTTTTGAAACAAAAGATGCATGCATCATTCCTTCCCCCCCCTCCCCCCTCATCAATTAGTTATGTGTATGTACTGTACGGAGTACTCCTCTCAGAAATGTACGCATTGTATGTTACTGCAAACTAACTAAGCATTGCAGAGAAATCAAGAATTTCTTGACAAGATAAAAATATATATATTCCCACAAACAAAACCCCAAGCGCAGTATGACACATAACTACATAATAATAGATGGTTGTCTGTGTGTGTGTTGAAAAAAGGGTAGAGCACCCTTTTCCCCATGCAACGTTAAACCTAGTAGTTATGCAACAGGGACGGGCGGTTGCAGGGCCTGTGCTGTACAAGGGAGGGGTAAGGAGGAGAGGAGGGGATTTATTTGGCAAGGATATGTATGTATGTACACCACATACTATGCCTAGCTAGGTATGTACAGGAACATGGATGGGATGGCCCGGCCATGAGCAAACCAGCATAGACTTGAACATGGGCATTGGCAAAGAGTGAATCCAAGGCACGAGCCTGCTCACACCTTGGATACATACATGCCTGGGTGCAAGGAGGAAGTAGAAGAGGAGGAGGAGGAGGGGGAGGAGGGGGAGACTTCTATGTTATTCCAGGAAATATATCGCGATATGTATCATCCACCTCACCTCGCGATACAGGCGGGCGAGTTGATCAGGCGGGGGGGGGGGGGGGGAACAATAAAAATAAACATAAAAACCATCTGGGGAGATCGTGCAATAATAATGCACATGTACATGTACATGTACATTGTACATTGTACATTATTACATAGATTTGTGGGCAGCAGCGGGGAGAGACGAACCCAGCGAGCGCACAGACTCGTCCTAGGCGGAAACTTTACACTACGGAGTACATGGACCATGGCTGGGCATGAATAATACTCCGTAATATTAATCATGATGGAAGGCGGACGGGTGGGGACTGACTTGACTGGTCGATGCTACATGTACAGTACAGTGTACAGTAGTACATGTACATGTACATGTACAGGATAGAAGAAGGACATAACTTGGGGAAAATCTGTCCTGTGCTCAACTCTTCAACTCTCCCTCCCTCCACCTTGACCATAAATAAGCAAGCAATCTACGATGATTTGCACCCGCTCCCCCTTTTTCCTCCCTCCTCCCTCCCCCTCCCTCCGCGCTCCACTCTGGGCGACATGATGTGATGAATTGCATGGCATGGCCCTGTTCATCATGTGCGCCATACTTCTGTCAAGTGAATGGTGGCTTTTAATTTATTTTACTTTTATTTTTTTTCGAAAAAGAAGAATATAGAGCAGCATAGGATAGATATTAATGAATGAATGAACATACATACGTAGGCCTAAGAAGAATGGGCACTATACAGCTGCACACTACAGTTCCCGCATGTCGTGCCCCGACCTGCCTTGCCTAAGGTATATAATAATAAATAGTATATACCGTGTCGTGCCGCCCTCGAGGTTTGGTGTAGCGGCGAGGTGTGCGAGGTGAGGTTGTGAGGGGAGAGTTAGCTATATAGCCATCTATTACGGAATAATGTAGTCACTGTATGGTAAGTTATGTGTAATGTAATGTACCACCATCCATGGTCGGTCTGTATCGCACGGCCTGAATATTTTTTTGAAAAAAAAAAAAAAAAAAAAAAAAAAAAAGACGCAGAAACTGGCGATTTAACTATCTCCATTTTTTACTCCTCCGTCTCTCATCGCGGGTCTTTATTTCCCCTCTCACTACCTACACTACCTACGGTGTACTTCTGAACATTATTATTATTATTATTGCTTCCTCCACCTCCACCCGCACCCGTTCTGAGCTCGCCAGAATGATCGACGGATGTCGATCAGGAATAAAAAGTGGAGGTTATAAGTAGTTACAGAGTAACGGAGTAACTAACGGGGTAAGGAAAAAAAAAAAAAAAAAAAAAAAAAAAAAAAAAAAAAGAAAAAAGAACAGAAAAAAGCTCAAGTCAACTCACGCCCCGTAAGCGACGGATCCATCCATCCCTTTTTTTTTCTCTCTCTCTCTCTTTTTTGTCAAGCAAATCTCAACTTCCCAGCCCCAACCCAACCCCCTGTCCAATCCAATAAAAATAAATAAAAAAAAATAAATATTCGCCAACGCCCGCGCGCGATCGCTGGAGTCGTACTGGATCGTTACAGGCCCCGGGGGGGAAACGTCGGAGTAATATCAATATGGACGGGGATACAAGAGAGTGCTGGGATCACGATTTCACGATGGTGTGGGGTTTGGGGAAGGGGAAGGGGAAGTTTCCCAAGGGTTGTTTCGAAAGAATCAGACAGGAATCGCAGATTGTATCTAGCGATTCGATTGGAGTTTATCTTTCCGTGCCTGCATGGGCTGCTGGGAATGAAGGGGAGAATGAGGTGGGGGGGGAGAGAGAGAGACAAGAGAGAGAGGGAGACAGACAGACAGACAAGACACCTTGCAAGTTTTCGCGACGGCCGTTGGAAACCTGGGGCGAACTAAGGACGAAACCCGTTTCCGGCTGGGTTTCTTCTAATAACCGTTTGATTACTTGTTGGGATCCATCCCTTTTTTGTTTTAGTTTTCTAGCCTGTTCTGTTGGCTTGGTTTCTGCTTCGGATGCTAGCGCTAGGATCTGGAGGCGAAAATCGTTTGAATTCGTTTCAAATCGTTCAGTGGTTCAAGAAAGTTCAAGAAAGTAAATCTGTAACTAATCTGACCAGATCAGATCCGATCAGGATATTCAGGCGAGAGTTTTCCTTGCCTTCCCTTCCCTTCAATGGCCAGTTCCCAAGTTAGATTGGTCTGCCTGCTAATAAACCATTTATTTTAGCCTGGGAAATTTCTTTTTCTGCATACCTACCATTACATTTACGCTGCTGTTGGTGGATTGGAATAGTTAGGAATAATAGTTTTATCTTCGCCTCAAACATGGAAACATGGAACATTGGAACATGGAACGTGGAACGTGGAACGTACGTTGGACCATGAAACAAAAACCATAACTTTTAACTAACCAAGCCTGCAACTGCAAGTCCTGAATTCTGCGGGGGTTTGAGAACGAACGGGGCTTCAAAGATATCATTATTTGAAGCTTTTTTTTGAAAACCCTGTGCGATGGCATCCAACCACCATCTCTTCTCAATTATTACACCCTACGGAGTAGTTATAGTATCGTATCCTACGTAGTTCTTCGTGCCAACATACTTACTCATAATATTGTTTTTTTTCTTCTTCTTTCATATTTCTTGAGATTGTAACTCATTCTAGCTCTTTCTAATACTAATTTCAGTTTTTACATCCTAATCTACAGCGGTGAGAAGAGGATGGGGAATGTCAGACTGTATTAGTATTGAGTGTGTGTGTGTGTGTGTGTTATCTATTTCGGAGAGAGTGCTAAAGTTGAATATGTCAAGCAAAGTAGGTCCAAAGCTGGCATCTCAAAGCAGCAAGCAGCAAGCAGCAAGCAGCAACAAGCAGGAAGAGGGAAGAAGGAAGAAGGAAGCAGGAAAGGCCGCATGATACTCCTCCGTACATAAGGTATAACTATATAACTATATCTCTGCTGCAGGTTGGAATGGAGTTGCTTCATTCTGCGTCTCTGTTCTACATTATTCTTATTATTCTACAAGTGTTGTTGGGGGCCATCGCCATCCGGGAACCAGGACTACCCATCGCTGCAATCAGTAATAATAATAATAATGAAACGTTGAGGGCCTCTCCTCCAATCGGACGGTTACTAGCTAACCAAGTACTCCGTACTCTGTAGAGAAAGAAAAAAGAAGAGAAACTGATAGTTAGTTATCTTGCTCTTCAAAAGCGAAACATATTATGATAAAGTTTAAAACAGAGACGCGCCTGGAGGCTTTTACCTATGTATGTAAGAGTATGGAGTAAGTATGCAGTGATGTGAAATGGTTCGTTTCACTATCAATCAGCACAAGAGCTAGTTGAATCGTTAAACTTGAAACCATTCACTCTTTCTAGACTCTAGGTATTGTTCAGTATCTGTCAGACAGCTCTTCAAGAGTCTAGAAATAATAAAAATGATGATGATAATCATCAATCAATCAATGACTTATAATCTGTAAGTAAGAAAAGAAGAACCAGAGTATTTATGTTAATCAGTAATCAAAGGGGGGGGGGAAAATCCGAAAACCAGATCAACCCCCTTTATTTTTTCAAAGAAAAAATAAATCACTTATGTATTCCCATCTCAGTTTCTTCCTTTGCTGTGTATAAGTGGGGGTGTGTTTTTAAGAATGGAGGCTTCTTTCTTTACTTGTTTTATTTTATTTTATTTTATTTTTTCATGATCAAAAAAAAAAAAAAAAAAAAAAAAAAAAAAAAAGCTGCATGTCTTACGGAGTAGTTAACATACGCACTTCACTCAGTTCATAGGTTTATGTGTGAGGTTGGTTGTCTGATTTGAGGAGCTGCGAGCTGTGTGCGTGGAGTTCAGCAGTTTGTAGGGAGGGGTTCTTCTTTATTTTTTATTTAATTTTTTTTTTTTTTCTTTTTTTTTTTTTTTTTTTGTGTTTGTGTCTGTGTATTTTGTCCGCGAAGAACAGCCAAAAAGAGAGAAAGAAGCCAAAAAAGAAAGAAAAAAAGAAAGAAAAAAAGAAATATGTGTAAGAAAAAAAAAAAAAAAGCCTCAGGTAACACGAGCAATTTCTCCTCCTCACTTTCCATTTCTCCTTCGTCCGGGATTTTCGCTTCTCCAGGAGAATATCATCTATTTTAAATTTGAATACTATATATATCCCCGACAGTCTCAATCACAATGAATTGTCATCATCATACCCCAATTTAAGATATCCATTGTATTATTACTCTGTACTTCCGTACGGAGTGTAAGTACAAACTACTTCTTCACAGAATTCTTAAAAAAAGTATACCTCCCCAGTAACTTAAACTAAACTAAACTAAACTAAACCTTGCAACCCGAAACCCGAACCCAGGAACTAGGAACCAACCGCTTGCTTGAAGCTTGAAGCAGCCAATCCACTCATAATAATAATAATAGCACTGCAGAGCGCGCACTCTTGTACGTACTGCGTAGTACTACTACTACTACTACTACTACTACTAAAGAAATGCTCCATCAGCCACGACAGGTCGGTCGGCGGAGGTCGCTTATCGTCGTCGTCCCCCTCATACGGCGGCGGCCCATATGGCCCGGGGCGGGGATCAGCGAAGGATAATTACGGGCGTGCTATACAGTATGTACAGGTACGCAGTACATGTAATGTACCTACCTACCTACCTGTCATGCCCAGGATTGCACAGCAGTAAGCACTGCTGCGCTTATCTGTCGATGTATATATTTGATTGTACGCGCTGTGAGAAGAGAGGCAATTGTAACATAATAAAAGAGTAGAAGTGAGAGGGGTTATTATTATTCAATTGACTGGCTGGCTGAGTTAATTCTCATTTGTAATAAGAACATGAGAAGGAGAAGGAGAAGAAGGATGATGATGATGGTGATGATGATGATGATGATGAACAAGAAAAAGCTAAAAAACTCCATTCTTCAGATAGACTGAATGAATGAGAGCATCTTGCAAGTAAAGTGCAGAAGAAGAGAAAAAAGAGAGAGAGATTTTTTCCTTTCTTTTTTCTTTCCTTTTCTTTTTTAACCTCTTTCTTTTTAACTCTTTCCCCAGCCCTCTCATTCTCTCTCATTCTCTCTCTCTCTCTCTCTCTCTCTCTCACCTTCCATCTCCTTCTTTTTCTCTTTTTCTCTTTTTCTCTTTTTCTCTTTTCTTTTCTCTTACTCACTGGCAGGTTAACAAGCAGCTTGAGAGTGTACATGTGCATGTATGTATGTATGGGGGTGTGTATTATACTGTATATATACCCCATTTTTGCAACACAAGGAAAGAGCCAGAAGGAACATTCAGCAGCAGCCGCAGAAGCATCTAGTAGATGAACATGGTTGGTTAGAAAATCAACCCAAGATCATGGCTAGAATCAAGGTTCCATCCAAGAGCAACTCTATCTGAGATACAACATACAACACACACAGACTACTTTCTTCACACAACATAGTACTAACTATATTTTTTAGTTAATCATTCTAGAGAGTAACTAACTACTTTTGATACTACTGCATGTGCTGAGTACTGAGCACTGAGCATTGAGTATTTGAGATAAGTGATAATAGTGTGTTCTGTCTACACTGAGTATTTGGTTATTTGTGATGGGGTTGATTGACATTGATTGATTGACATGGGATGACATCAGCTCGACCCCCGGGGCCGCAGCGAAGGGAGGTTCCAGCCCAGCCCAGCCCGGGGGGGGGGGCCGCCTGGGAGGGAAAGCTGGAAACTGCAAAACTGTAAAAATAAGCTGGTACTTGTACTTGTACCTGTTACAGTACAGAGTAGTACAGTACACACGTACATACATACATACATACATACATACATACATACATACATACCTTGCAACCTGTAATAATAATGCTCTTCCCGACGACGGGACGGGATCATCTTGCTTCTGCTTCTTCCTTGCTTCCATACGGAGTACACACACACATACACACATACATACAACACACACACACAACATAACTCTCTCTCCCTCTTTCTCTCCTTCTTCTTCTTCTTCTTCTTCTTCTGGCTTCATTTTACTCAATGCATTCTTCTTTTCCTACTTCTACTGCCCAATTGTCTGGTCTCTGATCCACCCAAGCTTTCTCTTCCCCTGGTCATTATAACAGGACTTGTTATATGATATGAGAAGAAGATACTCTCTAATATAACTACCTAGCTATAGGCCCCCCCCAGGACTATGCTCCAATATATCCATCCAATATATATATGACCAGTCCAGTCGAAGAATGGAGATGAGAAAATAGACCTTGTCCTCCTCTCCTTTTATCATATCATCTCCAAATACTACTACTGCTACTGCTACTACTGCTACAACTGCTACAACTGCTACAACTACTACTGCTGCTGCTGCTATTATTACCCATTCTCCTTGCTTACTATTCCATTCCTTACATTTATTGTTATTACACTACGGAGTACTGCCACAAAGATCATCGCTCTCTCTGCCCCCCCGTCCATCTCGCTTTTTGCACGTGCTCTCTCCTTCTCCTCCTCTCTTCCTGTCGGCTCTCAGATCTCAGTCATCTCTCTCATTCTCTCTCTCTCATTCTCTCTCTCTCTCTCTCTCTCTATCCCTCTCGCTCTCCCCAACTTATCCACTCATTCTTTTAATTTTCTTTTCCTTTCCTTTTCCTCGTCCTTACACACTCGCTTCCTTGCTTGAATAAATATCCCCAGCTCCATAAATCCCCCAATTGGGATTGCTGCTAGCTAGCC